CAATAACAGTAATAGTTAAGCTTTTTGTGAACTATTTGTTGACCACCTACGAACAAAGTACTGTTACTGCATCTGCAGGCTAACATGCGAAAAACAGGCAGAAAGTGTGAGATACCTTGTCTGACCCTGGGTTTGTGACATTTGGCCACATACCATTCAGTGAGGTAACGCAGTATGCAGTGAATCGTTTGGGGTCTTTTGGTATGTTGAATAAGGCTTTATTGCTTTATTGATTTCAGAGAATTATGTGATGAGTTATGTTAAAACTATTCTTGTGGAAGAGAGGGTGTTTGTACAAATCAGACTCAGCAGGTTATCTTATATATGACGTAATCTAAAGTTGCCTGATCAACAGCCCATTTGTCCTGTTTGGCTGAGCAGCCCCTCTGGAGGAAAAAGTAATAATAATGCTGTTGCAGCTGTGTAAATAGTAGTGGTAGGTCATTACTGCTAAAATTCTACAAAATTCAATTTCCATATCATCCAAACCCTCTACAGGGACACAGATGGGACAGTCCAACGTCACGCAAAACGATACCTTAAGCCCCCTGTAAAGTGACACTATAGCATCAAACTAACTAACTAACAAAATAAAAATCCACGTATGTTTCAGAACAACCTACATAAATATATAAACATAACTTTTGTGACATCAAACCGATTAGAAGTGTATCAAAAGTGGTTTAACTAGAGCTAGAGTTAAAACTGCACAGAAAAGCAGAGATTCAAACATAAATATGTATGACAGTTTGTAATTCACTGTGCTTAAATGTTTTGCATTTTTATGGGGCGTGGTGAGGTTGTAGTGAATCACCAGTCTAGTGTGAATACAGAGGGTCAGAATGGCATTATCATTGAGTTATTTCCCTTGGCATTGCAGTGGGGTGGGGTTTTTAACCACATGCCTGGTAATATGAGCATCAAGGCATATGCTGAACTAGGAACCTGCGTGCCTAGCAACTGCAAACAAATGCTTTACTGGGCTCATATGTCTCCAATACTCACTTCTAAAACAGAAAGTCTTTCACACTCCCTTTTTCATTTCTCCTTCTCTTTCCCTTCCTCTGGGTCACTCACCCATTGTGTGTGCATGCATCCAAAAATCCACAGCTGCTACTAAACCGAGTTCTGCACTCTTCCTCAGTCAAGTGGTGTAAATATAGGTTGCCATGGGGACACCATGACACCCGAGGGGTATGCTGGCTAAGGTAGCAGGACGGTGTATGTGAGTGTGAGCGGAGTGGCTGAGGGTCCAGGATGTGTATCATTCACACTGTGTGCAATGCACAACAGGAGGTTAAAAGTCAAGTGTGGCACAGACAACTGTGGCTTTGGCTCTGATGTGCATTTATGTGCTCACATGGGTGGGTGTGTTCGTAAAGTGGCACTCAGGGGTAAAGCATGTTCACTTTGTTGATGTTTCCACTCTTCGCAGATGTGTCTCCCAAATGATATTCCATGGTTTGGAGATGTGATCATAAATTGAGCCCATTTAGAAAATATTGTTTTGTACTACTGCAACAGTATTCAAAACGGAACTATAATCTTTTTAAATTGATTTTATTTTGCTATATTTTTTTGAATTCATGTTGTTGTCTGAGTTGCAGAGTAATATACTTTTACAGTACTACTACTAAGCGTTCAGTTTTATGTTTGGTTCAGTGTGTTGCTCAAGAATGGGTGCAATCACACTATCAACCTTGCATCAATGGAGCAAAAGTTCTTTTACTGGGGAAATCTATTACAGTATTATGGAATATGGCTTCAAATGTAGCACAGTTGTCAGTTAAACATTAGTTCTGTGCACTTCAGCATAGCACTAATGGAATGGGTTCTTAAATAGGTTTCAAGATTAATAAAGCTGTGTATGGCAAATATCTATACCACCTATGTTATGTAACTGGAAAAATAGTACATTTTGCTCCTTTTTAGGTGGCGGGAGTGAAAATCACAACATTTCTGTTTTTTTAATGAGGATGTAGGCTCTACAGGATGATGTTTTTCCCAAATGATGTACAGATTTTTAGACATTCTGTTGGCTAGCTGAAATATAGTGCATATAGCTGCCGAAAATGGGGAAGTAAGTATGCCCTCGGAACCGCCTAGGTTTGGGGCGAAGCCCCGAATGTTTTCAATGTCTGGCTCTGCCCCTGGTGACAGTGGCAGGGCAAAGCTTCCTTTCAAGAGGCATAACTGGGGCTCTAGGTGGGTGGCTGTCTGCCTCAACTGGTTGGGTTTATTATACACATCGTTATTATATATTACATGCCATAGAGCTTTGGTTTTATCCATTGTTGTGTTGTTTTCTCAGAATGCACAAAGTTTGTTATAGTATATAGGTCAGTCAGCTCTGTGTTTTTGACCAATTACTCTGCTCCATTCCCAGTTGATTGTCTTCATTGGAGGATAGTGGCTCATTGTCTCAGTGATCCTATTGTCTGACACTGACAGATCTGACGGGATGTCCATGTCCGTCACTGGGGACACGTCTGGCTGTCTGTCTATCTTAGTGAATATCTCTCTGTCTTACTGACTTCATGAATGTTTGTGGCTCTGTCTGCTGCCTTAAATCATAGTTTTATTTAATCACATCCACTGTAGACTTTGTTGTTTAGAGTAAGCCAGTCTGTCTGTCCTTGTTTTTCTCATGCTTTCTCTCCTATTTGTAGCATTCTGTACAATTGCATTGTGGGTATCAATAGCAGACGGAATTTCTGACTAGATCCTTAAGGAAATTAGTAAAATATTTATCACACAATAAATTAATGGTATCTTTTTTATTAAGATTAGAAGGAAGCTGCTAATTTAAGATTGCAGAAAATAGTTTTCTACTAAAAAACAACCCACTTGTAAATGGAATTAGTTTTGGTGAGATTTGTGCTGACTGAGCACAGTACAGGGCATAAACTAATATATTCCAATAAGTCCTTCCACAGTGGGAACTTTCTAAGCAGTGTTTCCATGGCTGGGATAAATACAGTCACTGACAGTTACTTCTTTCCCCACTAAAAAAAAAACTTAAGGTAGTCTCCAGTGTGTCTGAGCTGTGTTATATAATTTAACTTCTCAATAACAACAGTAATCTGACTGTGACGCTCATTGGGTTTGAATTGTACACGTTTTGGCTCTGTGTTTGCACTGATCTCGCCAAACCTGTCATTTGAAAACATTTAATTTTTGCTTACATCCTGAAATCATGTGACACCTTTTCCATCTCTCTGTAGGACAGTTTTGAATTTGTGCAGTTTGCCTACTGTAGTTTTTTTTTTTTTTTTTGTCCTGTATTCACACTGATGTGTTTGTTTGCACAAACACAGTCACAGTCGCACATCCACGCTTGATTTATCCTTAGTGCCTTGATCAGGAGTGAGCGTCGTTGTATTTGGGTCATGGAGGAGGTAGCCTGACGTACATGCACACACTGTAAATGCACACACACACAGCCATGCAGATACCGAGGCTAATCTGTTAAAGAGACTAGCACACAGACAGCAAGATAGGATGAATGGTAAGCTGTGTATAGGCATATGTATTACGGTTGCTTACTATTCTCTTAGAACAAAGGTAAGGTTAGGTTAACTGTTTGTGCCCACTTAAATATTACACTAAAATGTATTCTATTCTGTTGATCAAATATTGCCTTGTCTAAGTAATGATTTTGTTAATTTTACACAGTATTTTATGTTGTCAAAACCAAAAACACCAGCCAAACTGTTTAAACCATCATTTGGGAAGATTGACCTTCACTATATGCCAATAAATATATGCTATATGCCATTAAAAATTATATCATTGACATCGAAATCAAGCATGTGTCAATACTCCACCATCATGTTCAGTAAACGCTGGCAACCAGCATTAACTCAGGGGCGCAAAGTGCACTTGGAGATAACATGCTAAATTGTAATTAATCATAAAGCTGGTATCCATAATTTTTAATATATATCTTTAATGACTGGGGAGACCTAGGGAAACTAACCAACATAATAGTCTTTAGTATCATAGTATAAATAGTACTATTAAATTTGATTTAAACTGTGGACAAATTACTTTTATGATGTTCCTCAAACCTCAGAAACACAAATGTCCCCTTTAAAAA